GTAGCGGGTGCAGGAGCGTGTGGTACCTGTTGTAGTACTCGGTGGTAGAAGTGTAGTAGTAGTAGTAGTAGTAGTACTTGTAGCGGGTGCAGGAGCGTGTGGGGCGTCTCAGTTCGGCCTGTGCGCACATTTGAAACCCACGGAGACTCTACAGCGCATCACAAACACACACGCTCCCTATGCACGGCTCGTCTGCGACAGCGTGTGCCCTCGTGTACCAGCGTGCATCACAGGGCAGGTTCAACTTCCTAAACATCCTACCTGTCCACCTGCCTCACGTCAGCACGCCGCCCCTCGCCTTTTCACGCTCTCGCTCCTTCCTGCGTACAGCCAACACAAGCCCCTCCCACAGTGCGGCTGATTAGAAGAACGAGACCAAACGTGAAGCAAAAACCAGTCTAAATTTGTGTTCCAGTGTTGGCACAAAGCAGGTCTACAGCATAGAGCGGATCTACAGAACAGACCTACTGCCACATTTGGCTGAAGTTTGTCTAACAAAATGCATCTGTGTTTGTCACGATGTGTGTTTGGTTTGGTAAACGTGCAGAGGCTGGTAAATATCACTGCAAAACCAGAAGAGAATGAAACTCCAGTTTGGAACTTTAAAAAACAGGTTTAAAAATCTTCCTTCACTTTTTTCACAGTTTTGTGTAAAGTGCCAGAGGAAGTTCTCTTAAAGAAGAGGTTCTCAAACTGTGGGGGAGGGTCCAAAAAAGGGCCACAGAGTGTTTCAGTGCAGTTTGTTTGACTTTGTATCAGGTCGATCATTTTGACTTGGTCATTTTGTAAGAAGCTCACATGATGAAAAAGTGTGAACACCTCTGGACTAGACCTTGGTTAAGGCTGAAGTTTAGTTCTGCGTCGACTAATCACGTTCTACCGCCGACGCCTTGTCGCTGTCATTTTATAAACGTGTGTGTGTGTGTGTGTGTACGACCTGCAGATGTATAATCTCTGAAAAGTTTAACATGAACATCTCTAACGCGACAAACGCACAGAACAGACTCAGCATTAGTACAATGTGACTGTCACAGAGAGACACTCATGTTCCACTGAGTCGTGTCCTTTTTAAGTCCGACAGAAGCTGAACCTCGTACCAGGAGTGATCGGTTTTATGAGGCTTAGTTTATGCAAGTTAAACATGCAGTTTTAAGTTTTGTTTCTGTAAAACATAAACACATATGTGCAAAGCTGCATTAAACACATTATTTGTCAATATAAACTGAAAGAAAGAAAAGTCGACAGGAAATGTCGACAGAGCGGTGGTACGAGACGGACGTGTAGACACAGATGTAGACAGAGACAGACGTGTCGTGTAGGAAACGTGTAGACAGAGACTGTGTGTGACGGACGACGTGTGTGTACACGAGACTGAGGGGGACGTGTAGACAGAGACTGTGTGTATGGGGGACGTGTAGACAGAGACTGTGTGTAGGGGGGACGTGTAGACAGAGACTGTGTGTAGGGGGGACGTGTAGACAGAGACTGTGTGTAGGGGGGACGTGTAGACAGAGACTCTGTCGTGACGCGGACGATTGGACGCTGGACCATAAATTGGCCTTTACACAGACCCTCTGTCCTATCCTGGTCCCTGTCCCCCAGTCCCTGTCCCCCAGTCCCCCAGTTCTGTCCCCATCCGTCGTTACCTGCTGGAGATCTTGTCCTCCTGCAGGCTGAAGATGTGGCTGGTGAGCTCGTGGACGTGGGTTCTTCTGACCTGACTGAGCTGCTCGAGTCGTGAGCTCAGGTCTTTGGAGCGTTTGTCCTTCAGGTCGCTCAGACGTTTGTTGTGACGCTCGATCTTGTCTCGTTTTTCCTGATGACGTCCGGCTCTTCTCTGGAGACGCTGCACCTCCTCGTGAGAGCGGGACAGAAGATCCACGTCTGAGGAGCACAGACAGGGTCAGGGTCAGGGGGTCAGGGGTCGAGGGGTCAGGGGTCATTACGAGTTTCTCAGGTGTCACATTTTCTCCTCAAACCTCCAAACAGGAGGACGAGCTGCTGCACTTGGAGGTTCATGTATCGTTTGTTCTTTTCAATTAAGAACGAAAAACTATAAAATGTGAAAACCGTTTCATTTTTCTGTTTTAGTGACAAAAAAAACAAAAACAACAATAAAAAAAAAGATTTGGATCCATTTCCAATGCTAAATTTAAACTTAATTTCACATAACACCGACCAAAACATCTGTGACCATTTTAATTCTGATATTTTATTCTCTGGTTTATTTGAAGTTCAACATAAATCTATAAAAAACTTTTATTTTAAATCTTATTATTTTAGTAGTAATAGTATTTGTAGTGGTATTTGTAGTAGTAGTAATAATAATAATAATAGGAGTTGTAGTAGTATAGTAAGTAGTAGTAGTTATAGTAGTAAAGTAGTAGAGTAGTAGTTAGTAGTAGTAGTAGTAAGTAGTAGTATAGTAGTTAGTATTTAGTAGTTGAGTAGTAGTTGTAGTAGTAGTAGTAGTATATGTAGTAGTTGAAGTAGTAGTAGTAGTATATGTAGTAGTTGTAGTAGTAGTAGTAGTATATGTAGTAGTTGTAGTAGTAGTAGTAGTAGTAGTAGTAGTAGTAGTAGTATATGTAGTAGTAGTAGTAGTAGTAGTAGTATATGTAGTAGTAGTAGTAGTTAGTAGTATAGTAGTAGTTAGTAGTAGTATATGTAGTAGTAGTAGTAGTAGTAGTAGTAGATGTAGTAGTTGTAGTAGTAGTAGTAGTAGTAGTATAGTAGTAGTAGTAGTAGTAGTAGTAGTAGTAGTAGTAGTAGTAGTAGTAGTAGTGTAGTAGTAGTAGTAGTAGTAGTAGTAGTAGTAGTAGTAGTAGTAGTAGTAGTAGTAGTAGTAGTAGTAGTAGTATATGTAGTAGTAGTAGTAGTAGTAGTAGTAGTTGAAGTAGTAGTAGTAGTAGTATGTAGTAGTTGAAGTAGTAGTAGTAGTAGTAGTAGTAGTAGTAGTTGTAGTAGTAGTAGTAGTAGTATGTAGTAGTAGTAGTATGTAGTAGTAGTAGTAGTAGTAGTAGTAGTAGTTGTAGTAGTAGTAGTAGTAGTAGTAGTGTAGTAGTAGTAGTAGTAGTAGTAGTAGTAGTGTAGTAGTAGTAGTAGTAGTAGTAGTAGTATATGTAGTAGTTGAAGTAGTTGAAGTAGTAGTAGTAGATGTAGTAGTTAGTAGTAGTAGTAGTAGTAGTAGTAGTAGATGTAGTAGTAGTAGTAGTAGTAGTAGTAGTAGTAGTAGTAGTAGTATTAGTAGTAGTAGTAGTAGTAGTATATGTAGTAGTTAGTAGTAGTAGTAGTAGTATGTGTAGTAGTAGTAGTATATGTAGTAGTATAGTAGTAGTTAGTAGTAGTTAGTAGTAGTGTAGTAGTTAGTATAGTAGTAATAGTATATGTAGTAGTAGTAGTAGTAGTAGTAGTAGTAGTATAGTGTAGTAGTTAGTAGTAGTTAGTAGTAGTAGTAGTAGTAGTATAGTAGTAGTATGTAGTAGTAGTAGTAGTAGTAGTATAGTAGTAGTAGTAGTAGTAGTAGTAGTATAGTAGTATAGTATAGTAGTAGTTGTAGTAGTAGTAGTAGTAGTAGTAGTAGTAGTAGTAGTAGTAGTAGTAGTAGTAGTAGTGTAGTAGTAGTAGTAGTAGTAGTAGTAGTAGTAGTAGTAGTAGTAGTAGTTGTAGTAGTAGTAGTAGTAGTAGTAGTAGTAGTAGTAGTAGTAGTAGTAGTAGTAGTAGTAGTAGTAGTAGTAGTAGTAGTAGTAGTAGTATGTAGTAGTAGTAGTAGTAGTAGTAGTTGAAGTAGTAGTAGTAGTATATGTAGTAGTTGTAGTAGTAGTAGTAGTAGTAGTAGTAGTATTAGTAGTAGTAGTAGTAGTAGTAGTAGTAGTAGTAGTAGTAGTAGTAGTAGTAGTAGTAGTAGTAGTAGTAGTAGTAGTAGTAGTAGTAGTAGTAGTAGTAGTAGTAGTAGTAGTAGTAGTAGTAGTAGTAGTAGTAGTATGTGTAGTAGTGTAGTAGTAGTAGTAGTATATGTAGTATTTGTAGTAGTTGAAGTAGTAGTAGTAGTAGTATATGTAGTATTTGTAGTAGTTGTAGTAGTAGTAGTAGTAGTAGTAGTAGTATAGTAGTAGTAGTAGTAGTAGTAGTAGTAGTTAGTAGTAGTAGTAGTAGTAGTAGTAGTAGTAGTAGTAGTTTGTAGTAGTAGTAGTAGTAGTAGTAGTATAGTGTAGTAGTAGTATAGTAGTAGTATAGTGTAGTATTAGTAGTAGTAGTAGTAGTAGTAGTGTAGTAGTAGTAGTAGTAGTAGTAGTAGTGTATGTAGTAGTAGTAGTTAGTAGTAGTAGTAGTAGTAGTAGTAGTAGTAGTATAGTAGTAGTTAGTAGTAGTAGTTGAAGTAGTAGTTGAAGTAGTAGTAGTAGTAGTATATGTAGTATTTGTAGTAGTTAGTAGTAGTAGTAGTAGTAGTAGTATATGTAGTATTTGTAGTAGTTGAAGTAGTAGTAGTAGTAGTAGTAGTAGTAGTAGTAGTAGTAGTAGTAGTATATGTAGTATTTGTAGTAGTATATGTAGTATTTGTAGTATTTGTAGTAGTTGAAGTACCGTTCTTGAGTTGTTGGTTGCTCAGAGTCACCGCCTCCTTCAGCTGCTGGATTCTTCCTCTGGACGACATCACCTTCCACTTCTGACATACACAAAGACAAAACATCAGAGCAGAGAACGTTCAGGACAGAACCTCCTGAGGAGAACGTCTAACATCAGAACTGTTCCTCAAACTGTTCTTCAGACTGTTCCTCAAACTGTTCCCCAAACTGTTCTTCGACTTCCTCAAACTGTTCTTCAGACTGTTTCAGACTGTTCCTCAAACTGTTCTTCAGACTGTTCCCCAAACTGTTCTTCAAACTGTTCCCCAAACTGTTCTGTACCCCAAACTGTACCCCAAACTGTTCCTCAAACTGTTCCTCAAACTGTTTCTCAAACTGTTCCCCAAACTGTTCTTCAGACTGTTCCTCAAACTG